CAGAAGCAAGAAGATAAATCACGCAATGTACCCATTGATTCATGTTCTATCACCTCACCCAAAAAAATTAACAGAGTATGTAAAATTGTCTTTGAAATTTACACATTGATTCATGTCCTATCATCTCACCCCAAAAACGAATATAAGCATCAACAGAGTATGTGAAATTGTTTTTTGAAAATGTAAGAAGTGTCTTATGAAACGCTTCTACGCATCAGACCATAAAGTGTGAAAATGAACTTTGGAGAGTTAATTTTGCAACTACCCTCGTCAGTGAAGAAAAACATAAGAAATATTGAGATTCGTGTTAAAATCATTAATATTACCCTTTCGGTCATATTCAACAACATTTTTTTTTTTTTTTTTTGAGATATATACAGGAGTTGTTACATGTACAGCCACTAGTACGCGTAGCGTTTCGGGCAAGTCCTTAATCCTATGTTCCCTGGAATACGACCCCCGTGAAGAATTGTTTTTACAACAAAGTACCCATTTTAGTGTTGAGTTTAACAGAGGCCATAGTTAAGGATTTGCGCCAAGTAAATCCTCCCCGGGGATACGAACCCAGGAGAAAGCGCTCGCGGAACGCCAGGCGAGTGTTTTACCACTACACCACAGAGACTGGTAATGTTTACCAGGTAATGGTAATGTTCGGAGACTAGAACATATGTATATAAGAAAGACTGCTACCAAAATATACTAATATATATATGGAACTCCCTTCCTTAGTGTTATATTTTTGTATATATATATATATATATATATATATATATATATATATATATATATATATATATATATATATATATATATATATATATATATATATATGTCGTACCTAGTAGCCAGAACGCACCTCTCAGCCTACTATTCAAGGCCCGATTTGCCTAATAAGCCAAGTTTTCGTGAATTAATGTTTTTTCGTCTACCTAACCTACCTAACCTAACCTAACCTAGCTTTTTTTGGCTACCTAACCTAACCTTACCTATAAATATAGGTTAGGTTAGGTTAGGTAGGGTTGGTTAGGTTCGGTCATATATCTACGTTAATTTTAACTCCAATAAAAATAAATTGACCTCATACATAGAGAAAAGGGTTGCTTTATCATTTCATAAGAAAAAAATTATAGTAAATATATTAATTCAGGAAAACTTGGCTTATTAGGCAAATCGGGCCTTGAATAGTAGGCTGAGAAGTGAGTTCTGGCTACTAGGTACGACATATATATATATATATATATATATATATATATATATATATATATATATATATATATATATATATATATATATATATATATATATATATATATATATATATATATATATGTCGTACCTAGTAGCCAGAACGCACTTCTCAGCCTACTATGCAAGGCTCGATTTGCCTAATAAGCCAAGTTTTACTGAATTAATATATTTTCTCGATTTTTTTTCTTATGAAATGATAAAGCTACCCATTTCATTATGTATGAGGTCAATTTTTTTTTACTGGAGTTAAAATTAACGTAGATATATGACCGAACCTAACCAACCCTACCTAACCTAACCTAACCTATCTTTATAGGTTAGGTTAGGTTAGGTAGCAGAAAAAGTTAGGTTAGGTTAGGTAGGTTAGGTAGTCGAAAAAACATTAATTCATGAAAACTTGGCTTATTAGGCAAATCGGGCCTTGCATAGTAGACTAAGAAGTGCGTTCTGGCTACTAGGTACGACATATATATATATATATATATATATATATATATATATATATATATATATATATATATATATATATATATATATATATTAGTATATTTTGGTAGCAGTCTTTCCTGTAGACATATATTATTAAATATGACCGAAAAAGTAAGATTAATAATTCTAACACGAATTTTCTCTAGCTTTCTTATGTTTCTTTTCACTGTTGATGGTAATTCAGAGATCAATTCTCCAAAATTCATTTTTATTTCTAGTCTGACGCGACACTTGAGCGCGTTTCGTAAAACGTATTACATTTTCAAAGACTTTAGTTTACAAACACACAACTGAAACTGAATAGAGCTTTACACATCTTCGAGGTTTATATCTACATTTGGGTGAGGTGGATGAGGTGAAAAACGAACTTTCAACAATGGGTATTCAATGGGTATTAAATTCCAACACAAGACAGAACACGAAACAATGGGTATTGAATGGGTATTAAATTCAAACACAAGACAGAACACGAAACAATGGGTATTGAATGGAAGTAATTGTAGAAAGCCTATTGGTCCATATTTCTTGATGCTTCTATATTGGAGCGGAGTCTTGAAGTGGGTAGAATATAGTTGTGCATTAATTGGCTGTTGATTGCTGGTGTTGACTTCTTGATGTGTAGTGCCTTGCAAACGTCAAGCCGCCTGCTATCGCTGTATCTATCGATGATTTCTGTGTTGTTTGCTAAGATTTCTCTGGTGATGGTTTGTTTGTGGGAAGAGATTATATGTTCCTTAATGGAGCCCTGTTGCTTATGCATATAAGCAACGCATATATATATGTCGTACCTAGTAGCCAGAACGCACTTCTCGGCCTACTATGCAAGGCCCGATTTGCCTAATAAGCCAAGTTTTCCTGATTTAATATATTTTCCCTAATTTTTTTCTTATGAAATGATAAAGCTACCCATTTCATTATGTATGAGGTCAATTTTTTTTTATTGGAGTTAAAATTAACGTAGATATATGACCGAACCTAACCAACCCTACCTAACCTAACCTAACCTATCTTTGTAGGTTAGGTAGCCGAAAAAGTTATGTTAGGTTAGGTTAGGTAGGTTAGGTAGTCGAAAAAACATTAATTCATGAAAACTTGGCTTATTAGGCAAATCGGGCCTTGCATAGTAGGCTGAGAAGTGCGTTCTGGCTACTAGGTACGATATATATATATATATATATATATATATATATATATATATATGTCGTACCTAGTAGCCAGAACTCACTTTTCAGCCTACTATTCAAGGCCTGATTTGCCTAATAAGCCAAGTTTTCCTGAATTAATATATTTTCTCTAATTTTTTTCATATGAAATGATAAAGCTACCCATTTCAATATGTATGAGGTCAATTTTTTTTATTGGAGTTAAAATTAACGTAGATATATGACCGAACCTAACCAACCCTACCTAACCTAACCTAACCTATCTTTAAAGGTTAACTTAGGTTAGGTAGCCGAAAAAGTTAGGTTAGGTTAGGTTAGGTAGGTTAGGTAGTCGAAAAACAACTAATTCTTGAAAACTTGGCTTATTAGGCAAATTGGGCCTTGCATAATAGGCTGACAAGTGCGTTCTGGCTACTAGGTACGACATATATATATATATATATATATATATATATATATATATATATATATATATGTCGTACCTAGTAGCCAGAACGCACTTCTTGGCCTACTATGCAAGGCCCGATTTGCCTAATAAGCCAAGTTTTCCTGAATTAATATATTTTCTCAAAATTTTTTCTTATGAAATGATAAAGCTTCCCATTTCATTATGTATGAGGTCAATTTTTTTTTATTGGAGTTAAAATTAACGTAGATATATGACCGAACCTAACCAACCCTACCTAACCTAACCTAACCTATCTTTATAGGTTAGGTTAGGTTAGGTTAGGTAGCCGAAAAAGCTAGGTTAGGTTAGGTTAGACAGGTTAGGTAGTCGAAAAAAAATTAATTCATGAAAACTTGGCTTATTAGGCAAATCGGGCCTTGCATAGTAGGCCGAGAAGTGCGTTCTGGCTACTAGGTACGACATATATATATATATGTATATATATGACAGAGTACGTATGTACAGATATGTACATATATATATATACATATATATGACAGAGTCAGACCACGAAGGAAGAATTGAAAGAAGAATTTCTTTAAGTACTTTCATATTTAATAATACATCTTCAGAAGGATCAAATCAAATTTCGTATTATTAAATACGAAAGTACTTAAGGAAATTCCTGTTTCAATTCTTCCTTCGTGGTCTGAGACTGTCACATTTTTCATCGCGTGTTAATTTTCGTGATTTACACACACACACTTGTGCAGATGATGAGTCACAATAACGTGGCTGAAAAATGTTGGCCAAACCACGCACTAGAAATTGAAGAAAAGACGTGAACCAAACCACACTGTCGACTTGATAATGGTCCAGGACGGACCGAAACGTCGTCGTCTCTTTAATTTCTAGTGTGTGGTTTGGTCAACATACGTACACACTGTAGGCATGTATCGAGGTTTCCTCCCAAGGTGGAACTACTGTCCCTCCCCAGAACACAACCCCACAACAGTTGCCTAACGTCCAGGTACCTATTTACTGCTAGGTGAACAGAGGCATTAGGTGAGAAGAAACGAGTCTAACCATTTATGTCCTGACCAGAAATTGAACTCCAGGATCCCCGATTGTGAGTTGAGATCGAAACCATCTATACCAGGAGACCCTAAATAACAATAATAAAGCCATGTATAAGTGTAGCTGTATGCTCGTGCTGAGCCTACGGTATCTCTTCAGTTTTGGCCCAATGTTGTGTATTTAAAGTGCGTTAAAAAGTGATACAAAGTGGATACTTTAATAGTAATTATATTATCTGGCCCCGGATCGCATTCAGCGTGCTTTATGTAATATTGAGTAAATCACAGTCTATCTATTACTATATCTGTCAGTCATGCTTAATTTATTACCTTCTAAATAATTTAATTGTTGAACAATAATTAGAGCAGCACGCTTTATTCCATTTCAGTGATGGCAGAAAACGGGAGTCGATGTAAACAAACTCAATCTTTTGTTGGCTTTTATATTCGCGAACAGAACTGAAATTCTATTTTTGGTAAAGAAAATTGAAAACTTACTAGTTAAAATGCTGAAGCAAACAAACGTTTGATATAATATAAATACATAACAAATGAAGCACATATCTATGCAAGAACGTTTTATTGATTGCGCCAATGTTTGTGGTGTGTAGCTGATAGGTGCTCGCGCAGGTCGCTCGCAGTTGGGAGCTCAGACCATCATGGCTACTGGTGGAGTGTGGACGTTGAGAGAAGTGATACTGTGTATTGTAGTGTGTGTAGCCCACGATGTGTGTGGTGGACGCCGTACTCAGGCAAAGATCGAAGCTATACTCACATCAGGTGCCAGTCCAAAGTTGGACCATGAACATGTGTTGGTGGCTGGTGAGGAAACGGTACTGGAGGTGTGGGGCTTGGGACTGTCCAAGGGGCTGGAGGCAGGGCTGACGGCGGCGCAGGGGGTGCAAGGGGCGCCTTGCCAGTCCCTTATCACGCCTCCCTTGATTCCTAATACCGATACTGTTACCCATAAACACGCCGTGTTTACCGTCCCGGCTGGCCACACCGGTCACATCCCTGTCATAAGCACCATGGAGCTGTGGTTGTGTACTCGCGAGCAGCACACCTTCAGCAGTGGGCGAGCCCGTCACACAGGCGGCTGGGTGCACCAAGGTCCTCCTTCAAGAGTTGTGTTGGTGGTGAGCCCTAAGCTGGCTCTTGACAGTCCTCGGCGCGTCCACCACATCCCGCGACGTGCCCAACACAAGCTCAGGTGAGTACCACGTGCGCTACTCCTGCCTCACGTGTGCCACACATCTCACGTGCGCCACCACAACACACCAACGTTGTCATGAGGACGCTTGTCCTCGCTGGCACCGCTGGCACTCACCACTTGAAAATAAGCGTTTATGATGTTGCATCATCGGTAAGCACCATGTGCTGCAAGGTCATTGATCACTATTACACTAATCTTACTTTGGCAAGTAGGGGAAATGTCATCAAATTGACAGTCGTATATAAACAATATTTTAACTCATCCTAGATGAGTTCATTAGTCACACTTCAGCTTAACACTTACACTGTGGGTTACGGAGTGCTGCTTCATGTTATGTATCCAATACTCATTTTGATAACCAAACATAAACATGAAACGAAAGTGACAATTTAGATTCATCCTGGACCCTTATCACGACTTGATAAGGGCCCAGAAGGGACCCAAACATTGTCACTGTAATATCATGTGCGTGGGTTGGGTTATTTGTGTTCAGCCAGGTTATTGTGACTTATTCTCTGCACCCATCTTGAGTTATGGTGGTAAAGGTTAGGAGAACACATTGGGGTCAGGAACTGAATCCAAATATTTGTTTGCTGAGAAAGTTTGAGCATTAGTGACGGACTTCTAAGAGCGAAGCCTCTCCCCAGTAATTGAACACTCGCTTCTTACAGCTGTTGTAGGATCATCCTGAAGAAGCTTCTCTAGTTGTTTATAAGATCTTTCAAAGATCTCGGTTTTTCTTTTTACGATATATTGTATTCTAGAAATTGTCTTTTCATTAAGCTTTTAATGTCATCTATAGCAGAACTTGGGATTATACTATAATCTGCATTCTGAAACAATTATTCTACATTATAAAAGGCTTCTAGTACTTTTAACATTCTACACGTTCAACGTAGGTAGTGCCTTCACGTGTGAATAATTTATGCTTGCCCACATAGTAGCCATTACTATACGTGTCTAGCTAAAATATTCCCTTCAAAATATTGATTGGTAAAATCATCGTGGTTTCGTTAGTGTTAAGGTCTGTGTGAATTTAATATTAATGTAATACAGTATATTTTCTATGGGAACATATTGCCTTGGTGCTGCGAGCTGGAATTTTTAAGTGATGTTTGCGTATTTATATTAAATTTGTAAAAATTCCCAGAAATCTGTCAAGACGTGTAGCAAAATCAGGGTAAAACTTAACAAACACGGTATATGCTAAACTAAGCTCTTGTAATTTTCTAGGTTCGAGAAATTTGTAGCACATTAACGTAAGAAACAAGTCAAACGTGTCAACTTGAGCAAAAATTACATTTTATGCCAAATTCTCTCTCCTTAATGTATTTCTCATATTTGTAATCTTGCTGTATGACTTTATTTGTAATTTACACTTACCTTGCGATAATTTCGGGGCTCAGTCTCAGCGGCCCGGTCCTCGATCAGGCTTCCTGGTTATTGGACTGGTCAACCAGACTGTTGGATGTGGTTGCTCGCAGCCTGATGAATGGCTACCTACCTACTTTGTGTAGCTTCTGGAGACCAACATCCCCGCGGCCCGATCTCTGACCAGGCCTCTCGGTTGGTCGTCTGGTCAACCAGGCTGTTGGACGCGACTGCTCGCAGCCTGCGTTTGATAGGTATTCTTTGGAGGTGTCGAGTTCTCTCTTGAACACTGTGAGAGTCCGGCCAGTTATGTTCCTTACGTGTAGCGGGAGTGTTGAAGTCTTGGGTCCTTGATGTTGATAGTTCCGAGTATCTATTGCACCTCTGCTTTTCAACGGGGTTATTCTGTACATCCTGCCGTGCCTTCTGGTCTCCTGTAATGTTAATTCTGTGTTCAGATTTGGAACCGGTCCCTCTAATATCTTTCACGTGTAGATTATTAAGTATCTCCCTCGCCTGCGCTCTAGGGAATACAGATTAACAACTTTTAATTGGTCCCAATAATTAAGATGACGTATAGAGTGGATTCTAGCGGTAAAAGATCTTTGCACGCTCTCCAGGTCAGCAATTTCTGCGACTCTGAATGGAGCTGTTAGTGCAACAATCTCAAGTCTAGCTTAAGTTACTTAGTGTTAAGCTGGCATAACACTTAACCTAACTAAATTAAGCTATGCCTGAAAATCTTTGCCTATTAAATATACATATAATGTAACAATTATTAAACCACTGTATAATATTAGTGTATAATTTTTAAATACGTTTTTATTGTCCTGACAACTTTAACAACGTGGACTTATTGTGAAGTGTTCCAGCACTTGCTGGCTACACAGGTTTTTATTGTATTTATATATACAGTACAGCAGTTTTTACTTTCTTGTAAAGCCACTAGTAATTTTTTAATTTTTCTTTATTGTGCACCCCCCATACCTATCCCGTGGGTGGTGGTGGAAATGGTTACATAATCGGTTCAGGAACCGAACCCCCCTAGTTCGTTTAGCTAAGCAAACAACAATCTTTTGACGCTAGTGGCACAATTATTATTGTGTGTGTGTATATATAATATAATATAATATAATATATAATATAAATATATAATATAAATATATAATATAATATATAATATAATATATAATATAATATATAATATAATATAATATAAAATACAGAATCACACAAATACATACACGTCAATAATCTTTTGTATCACAAGTGATTCAACAAGAGGCTCCCAAGTCACTATACAAGGCACTTTACATCCATGGTGACTCAGTTATTAGTCTTGCTCCACACCCACCCAACTGGGCGGCAGCTTTACGCATATCGTTTCGGGCAGGTCCCTAATCCTAATTTTCCCCTGAATACGACCCGCTAAATCGTTTAAGAACTAGGTTCCCATTCACTGCTGGGTGAACAGAGGCTATAGTTAAGGATTGGCACCCAGTCAATCCTCCCTGGCCAGGTTACGAACCCAGGCCAAAACGCTTGCGAAGTACCAGGGAAGTGCTTTACCATTGTGCCACGGGGGCTGCATTCTGACCTTTTCAGAAAATAAAGTTAACTGCAAATACGTGAAATATTTTCGTGTAAAAATATACGTACATTAAGAGCCGCGCGAGGCTTGCTGTTGTGCTCGCCTCGCTACACGCCGTAGTAGGTCCCTAAGTGTTTAAATACACATGATAGTGTATGAGAGTTGATAAGGTTTGAGTAATTTATTATCCAGTAAAAATGTTTAATATGCAAACAAAGTGGGCGATAACCTTGTTTAACAACTGTTGTATATTTTCTTGTGCGGCGTGAGCGGTTATTCAAGAGTTACCAGATATTCTCCTACAGGTTGGGTCATCCTGTGTATTACTTCAGGTCCAGACATGTCCGGAATCTTGCAGTTAATTAACCTTCAAAATTATCTATTAATAGCCGATATCCAAATTACTTGAACATTATTTGGAGTTAAGTGTAGCTCACCGTGACTATTCCGGAAAGCGAGGCTGTTGGCGTCCTGTCATATTTTAACCTAGCGTACCAGCCAATGCCAGAAGTGTCACAGATGACTTAAGAAGCTTCCTGTCTGTCTGTCTCGTACAAGGGACTTTGTTTTTCTCATATGTACGTATTGAGCTCTTTTTCCACAGTAATTACGTATCACTAAGGAGAGAAAGTAGTTCATGAAACAGAGAGAAAGATCTAGGAGTTACGTACTGGAGTGAACGATATGGAAGAAAATGCAGAATAGAACCAGTGAAGAGCAGAGGTGCCATAGGCACAATCAGAGAACACTGTATAAACATCAGAGGTCCGCGGTTGTTCAACGTCCTACCAGCGAGTATAAAAAATATTGCCGAAACAACCGTGGACGTCTTGGAGAAAACTATACTGTTTTCTAAAAGAAGTTCCGGACCAACCGGGCTGTGGTGCGTATGTAGGCCTGCGGGCCGCTCCAAGCAACAGCCTGGTGGACCAAACTCTCACAAGTCAAGCCTGGCCTTGGGGAGTAGAACAACTCCCAGAACCCCATCAAGCAGGTATCTAGTTGATATCACACCAAACCTGTCTCCTGAAGCCCAGATAAAAAGCATTACGTTTGCGGCATACGCGAGGCTGGCTAACATCAGAACAGCCTTCAGGAACCTGTGTAAGGAATCATTCAGAATTTTGTACACCACATATGTAAGACCAATCCTGGAGTATACGGCCCCAACATGCAGCCCCGTACCTTGTCAAGCACAATCAAGCACATGACGAAACTGGAAAAAGTTCAGAGGGAAAGGCTGCGGAAAATGCACCTTACAACACTGGAAGACAGAAGAGTAAGAGGAGACATGATCACTACCAACAAAATCCTCAGGGGAATTGACAGGGGAGACAAGGATAAACTATTCAACACTGGTGGTACGCGAACAAGGGGACACAGGTGGAAACTGAGTACCCAAATGAGCCACAGGGACGTTAGAAAGAACTTTTTCAGTGTCAGAGTAGTTAACGGATGGAATGCATTAGGCAGTGATGTGGTGGAGGCTGACCCCATACACAGTTTTAAATGTAGATATGACAGAGCCCAGTAGGCTCAGGAATCTGTACATCAGTTGATTGACGGTTGAGAGGCGGGACCAAAGAGCCAAAGCTCAACCCCCGCAAGCACAAATAAGTGAGTACTAAACTCCAGATTGTTATTGACGTGCCACAAAATTAACAAACATGGTTCCTTCAGCCAAACGGTTTCATGGTATAAAATTTGAGTCAGTAGCTAGCATGATGATAACCGTTTAAAGGGTATAGTCATACTAGCATTGCTCCTTAACCTGTTCATTAAGTTACCTGTTAAACTCGGTTATGAGTTTAACAATTTGATCATCGTCGGTCATTGACAGGACCATTAAAGACGTCCATGGCCGAGAGACTTGTATAGTGAAGAACGCCGTCTCGCAGAAGTAGACAGAAGCATCACAAGGATTTATTCAGATTTCCTTGTTACAGTTGGGAAAGAACCTATGCTCTAACGAAGCTTGTTAGTGACGCTCTCGTAAAGAATATTTTTTTGTTGCAGTTGAATCAAGATAGATTAT